AGGAGTGGGAAGGGAGTTGATGGGGTCGAGGTGAGGATGAGGAGGGTGATGGGGCTGGGGTCAGGGTTTGGGGGTGATGGGGCTGGGGTTTGGATGAGGATGAGGATGGTGAGGTAGGTTGATGGGGTCAGGGTGAGGATGAGGATGGTGAGGTAGGTTGATGGGGTCGGGGTGAGGATGAGGAGGGTGAGGTGGGTTGATGGGGTCGGGGTGAGGATGAGGAGGGTGACAAGGGGGCGATGGGGATGCATTGGAGATGAGGTTCAGGGTGAGGATGAGGAGGGTGTGACAGAGACAGGGGGAGGAGGAGGAGGGGGGCAGGGTGAAGATGAGAGTGTCAGAGGGATGGGTTAAGGGTGAGGATGAGGAAGGGATGGGGATGAGGATGGGCCACAGAGTCAGAGTGAAGATGAGCATGGGATGAGGAAGGCAATGGGGTGATAGGTCTGAGTTGAGGATGAGAAGTGGGACAGGGACAGGGTGAGGAAGGTAAGGGAGGCAATGGGGTGAGGATGAGGAGGGTAATGGGGTGAGGATGAGAGGGAGTGACAGGCAGGGTGAGGATGAGGAGGGTGAGGGTGTCGAAGTGAGGAAAGAGAGGATGAGGAGGGTGACGAGGTGGCAGGGTGAGGCTGAGGAGGGTGTTGGGGTGAGGCTGAGGAGGGTGTTGGGGTGAGGCTGACACTGAGGAAGGCTCTGTGGCCAGGCTGGTTCTGTCGGAGGAGCTGACCAGCCTGCTAGTGGTGCACGGGGGGGGGCTGGTGCTCGACCTCTCTGCGGGTTTCCTGCTCTTCTTCGATGCCACACGGCCCCTCGCCCTCGTCTTCGTCACCTACTTCCACTGCATGAACTCCCAGCTCTTCAGCATCGGTGAGAGGAGGGGGGCATGGCACCCCCAGTACCCCCCCAGCACCCCCAGCCAGAGCAGGGGCACCCTCCAGCCCCCAAAACACCCTGAGCCTGAGCAGGAGCACCTTCCCATCCCACAGAGCACTCCCAACCTGGGCCAAGGACCCCCCTGGGCACCCCCAACCAGGGCAGGGCCACCCCTTGGGTAGGGGCTTCCACTCACCCTATCACCCTCCTTGAGCACCCTCAGCCAGGGCAGGGACCCCCCCAAAACACCCCTGGCCTGGGCAGGGACACTCCTCAAACCCCTGTAAATCCCCCCCAGCCGTGGCAGGGGCACCCAAACACCCCTTAAACCACCCTCAACCAGGGCAAAGTTCCCCCCCCACCAACCCCCAAATCCTCCCCAGCCATGGCAGGGGCACCCGGACATCCCCTAAATCAGCCCCATCCTGGGCACCCAGACATGCCCAGAGCACTCTGACAGGGCAGGAACCCCCTCACCCCCCTGTCCCCACAGCTCCCTCGAGGTCCCTCAGTGCCCCCCGGGTGCAAGAGGTCCCTAAATGTCCCCCCTGTCCCCAGGGATGTTCTCCTACACCATGCTGGCCACCAACGGCCTGTTCTGCCGGCCCG